GGAATCAGTTAAGGACAGTCCTACAGCCTCTGCTAAGTAAGAAGTCACAGGGTCTCTTTCAACATTACTGTCTACAAACTCTAGTCAAGATGTCACGGATATGAGCCCTAACCCAGCATCAGAGCAACTCCTGGGACTTACTTTGGGGCAAAGACCTTCCAGACCATGAGGTGCCTCCTGAGGATCATAGCTGCACAAACACAGGCCAGAAGCTGTGGGGGAGATCAGGAAAAACAAGTTACAAGTGACTCTGGAGAGACCTCTTGGGCGCTAGGTTCACATCTGAAGGCGGTACGAAACTGCATGCACCTGAGAGGCTGGTGGTACAGCACACACCATAAATAAGCACGCCAAAGAGGATTCCCTTCCATCATGTCCTCAAGTCTGGAAAAACAAGCTGCTTGGGGTACACGCAGCCCTCCTGGGGCCAGGCTGGGACAGTACAGAAGAGGGCTCACCCTGTGGCTAACCTGACCTAGTATTTCACTGAGAGGGGCACCCACGCTCTCCTGCTGCGGGGCCTGCCTCCTCCCTTGTACTGTCTCTGGTCTGACCAGACAGGAGAACGATTTGAAGGGCTAAACCCCAGAAAGCTATTTGCTTCTTTCACAGGATTAAATTTCTGGTGTTTTGCTCCCTATACCACCGCAGCACAGGATCAGATGAAAACCAGAGCTGGTGCAAAATAGATAGGCATGGTTGGGAAGCAGGGGAGCAGGATTACAACCCTGTAGTTTCTGAACAGACGTTGCCACTCTGGGCAGACAGGTATGAAAAGCGGCCTAATCCATACTGCGGCTTCTGTGCTGGAGCCCTTCCCAAAGCACAGAGCATGGCTGAGAAGAGGACCTGTGCAGCTGCTCTTCCACCTGCAACCAGACATATCACCGCTGGGCCTGTCTGTGCCCGGCTGACCCCCTTCCCTCATCAGAGCACCCCATGGTTCTCCTAGCAACCCATTTTCCTCTTGGACAGCCTTCTCCACAGCCATCCTGCCTCTGTCCGTACCTGTGTCCCAAGGACAAAGAGGTACTTCAGCCCCAGCTGCAGCAGAGCAGTGGAGAACTTCTCCGGGGACTCCCGCAGCCTCATCTCCATCATGTGCTCCTCCACCTCCGGCAGCTCCTCCCGGGGCTCCTTCTTGGGCTTCTTCCTATGCGAGCTGGGCATCTCGCACACAAAGGGCCAAAGCAGGAGCAGAGGGCAGCCGACTACCTCAAGGACAAAGGCACATGAAGTTACTGGAGCCCAGGAGGTGAGGAGCAGTCTAGGCTCTGCCACCACGCCCTGGATGTACAGGACGCACACGCCCCAGCTCCAGTTTGCTGGCCAGGCACAACTGGATGGAGGCTGCAGGCTGTGGGCAGCTCTATGGCCCCAGAAGGGGACAGCGAGGATGCTGCTGTTCAGCTGGTGCTGGAGCCTTCATCGCCTCGTGCTCAGCCTGCAGGCCTCCAGACAAGGCAAAGCAGTGAGCCAAGTCTGCTCAGGCTCAACAGCCCAGGAAGAAATTGATTTACCTGCAAAGAGGATATGGGAGGCAAAGGTGTTGGCGCCCACCAGAACAGCAGGCAGAAGGTTCGTGCCGTGGTCAAGGTGGAAGCCGACAAAGGCTGCGTTCCAGTGGATGGCCGGGAAGATGGGCTGGTGGCCCGTGGAATAGAAGAACTGGGAAGCAGCAAGGAGCCAGGAGATGACTGCGTACCAGGGCACTGAAAAAGGCTCTGAGAGATTGAGAGAGAGAGAGATCAGCATCGAGGAAAAAAGACAGATCCACAGTCAAAAAAAGCCTGTTGAGTTTTCTTCCAGGTTCCCTTTCCACACTCTCTGACAGAAAGAAACCAGTCAGGCTCCCACCAGAGGAGACGGTGAGGGGCCAGGCACTCCCTCTGCTGCCCGCCCTGCTACTGGACTCTGTTAGCAGCAGTGGGGTTCAGTGGCTGTTCGCACCCTGGGGAGAAGGGATGAGTGTAGAGCCCCCTGCCCTGACACAAGGGACTCCTCCTCCTCCCACATTGCACCCCTGCTGCACGCATCTCTCTTCTATTAGAGGATCTGAGCAGCTCTAAAAAAGCTAGGAGGATCCTCTGAGGATCAGTGTACCACCATTCCCCAAGAGCAGAGACTGGGCTCTGCTTGTCTCCCTGGAAATAAGACAAGGTTGCTGCAGATAAGGCCCAGGTCACACATCCAGAGGATGCTCTACCGAGCCCTGACTCACCAGCGTCTCCAGCAAGGCCTCTGGCACGCGTGTGGATGTGCAGCAGCATGAAGGCCTCCAGGAAGAGGAGAAGAAAGGCGAGACTCAGCCGCTCGCTGTGCAGAAGCATCAAGAGGAAGCCCAGCAGGGTGAGTGCTATGACCAGAGCTGCCGAGTACACGCTGCCCAGCCCGTATGCTGCGATGGTGGCCTTGCAGCTTCCCCGCTCCAGGCGGCTCTTCTGAGACTCCTGCATCCTCTTGTAGATCTGAGGGATGACGTGCAGGAAGTCGACTTCAGAGCTGGGAACCCCCAGGTAGGGAGTGACGATGGATCCTGCCGACTCCCGCGTGTCCTTGGCGAGCACCGTCATGGGATTGCACAGCAGGAGCAGCAGCCCCACGGATGCTAGTCCGTAGACGGCCCATGGAAAGGCAACAACCGCCACCTGCACCAGCTCCTGCAGCTTGCCGAGAGAGTCGTCAGTGCTGGAGGCAACGGCCCAGTAGCAGGCAATGCAGAGGACCACCAGCGGGAAACCCCAGCGCACAAAGAGCACGAGGGGGTCCGAGCTGTTCAGGTTGCCGTAGTGTCGCAGCCAGCTCCGCACTGCATAGACCAGCCCGGCCAGCAAGGCCACGCACAGGAGGTAGAAGAGGTTCTTGGCCCGTGTGTTTCTCAGGCTGGCAAGGGGGGAGAGGAAAAGAGAGGGCCGGCACTGAGGGATTTCTTCGCGGCACTGGTGGAAGAAACCGGAGAGGCGAACGCAGACCAGAAGCATGGCCACGAAGCACAGCAGGTACCAGATCTCCCTCCGGTAAGAAGAAAAGCCAAGGAGCTGCTGCTTGGGGCCTTCTGGCACAGTCAGGCGACCGTCCCAGTGGAGCTTCCCCACTAGCAACATCACCAGCGAGGCCAGCAGGAACGGGGCCACCCGGGCCTCGGCCACCACAAAGCTATCGGAGAACATAGCTCCGCAGCGGAAGAGGAGGATGCCCATGGGGAAGGCCAGCCCCAGCCATGCTCGCAGCCTCTGCCTCAGGCCAATGCTGGCCAAGGGTGGTGGACTGCCCGCCAAACGGGCTCGCTTGGGATGCCGGCCCCACCAGTGCCAGAAAAAACCCAGCTGCGAAGCTGCGGCTGCCGACGACAACACCAGGAGGAGATCCAGCCCCTCCTGCGTGAACGCACGGGCCAGCCCAAGCAGAACAGCCACCACCAAGCCCCAAAGCAGTGGGTACAGGAGGCAGCTGCGATAGAAAGAGTCCGATGCTGCGGCCAGCTCTGAGGCCACGTAGCAGAGCAGGCAGGAAGTAGCGATGAGGGTGCAGCCCCCCACCATACGCAGGGGATGGAAGCGGGCCCAGGACTGGGTGCACACAGCCCGCGCCTCCCGCAGGTAGAGCTGGAAGCGGCCGATGAGGCTTCCCAGCCTGGACTCCAGCTCCGGAGGCACCAGCGTCGCTCCCTGCACCTGGGCCAAGAGCTGAGTGTGCTCCTCCACGGCGCTGGAGAAAAGCTCCTGCAGGTGCTGGAGCTGCTCTGCTGGCAGGTCCTGAGCCACCAGCGAGTAGGAGTGCAGGAAGCGGTCCACCTACAGGAGAGGGGACACAGGGTCAGACAGTGGCACTGGAACCACTGGGAATAGGATTCATCGCCATCTTCCTCACTCAGCCCCTTCAGAATGGAAAGGGCTCCAATCTGCCAGCCCCTGCCAGGACAGACCTGTCCACCGCCACATGACCCGGGGCCGGTCACCCAAATTCAGGATGTGACTGGCAGGAAACACAACACTTCTGCCCAAGTGACATCCTTCTCAAGTGACATATCCATCCCGACAGCCACACTGACTCCCCTCAGTTCTTCATCTGCAGGTGCACCTCTGGTAGCATTGTGCATCACTAAGGGCTTTTATGCAGAGTCTTGATGGTAACCGTAAGGCAAACTTCCCCCAGAACTTCGGGTCACTACTAGCTATTCATCCACACCTGATGGCGACTTTTACGCTGTTTGTCTGAGGACAGACATCAAATTGAAGAGCTTATAGTGGATCAAATCAAACTGCTCCCTCTTCTTCAATACAAGCACATTAACCAACTGTACCATAGGCTAAGGAGAGCTCATTCTGCTTCCTGCTTCAAGAGGACAGGAACAGAGGCAGCTACGATCCCAAAGTCATACAAAAGTCTTACAAGGGCATTACTGGGGCAGGGCACCCGTACAAACACCCAGCTGCTCAGCAGTGTAGATCTGCTCAAGCCCTGAAACACACCGATACCTTCGCGTGCCTTCCAGTCACCTCAGAGCGCAGGCAGAATCAGCCCACTCCTGCCCACGAATAGCAAACACAAGCACCAGCTCTCTCCCAGGCCTGCAAAGCTTCTGCAACACCAACATGATTGAGCCAGAAACCTCCTCAGACAAATGAGTGCAAATATTTAAACAGGCAGGACTGGATAACACTAATTCCCAACAGATGATGATCTATATCCTCCGTGACTAATGGAGAGCAACGTACACTATCATCTTTAAATGACAAAGCACTCTGCTGCTCTATAAATACACAGCAGAGAGGCTGAACATTTTTGCCTTCCCATCAGCAGTCGTATCCTCTCCAGCTCCTTGCTGACTTGCACCAATGGTTTCCAACTGGTACATCACGGGTTGCTTCCAGGCAACTGGGCCCAAAACAGGACCTGGTCTGCTTTGGCTTCTTCCCCGAGAGCCCCAGGGGTGCAGCAGGGAGCTGGCTGAGTTATTTTTGTGCTCCTAGCAATCCAGGGGTCCCTCAAAGGCAGGCCGGCACTTAGCTAAGACACATGCCTTGTAAAATGTGCGGCAAACCTGGTTCTGTAGCATGCCAAGAGCCACAACAGACAGCCCCCGTGTCCTCCATAGAGGGTCTGGCTTGCCCTGGCACAGTGCCTGCTCCATTGCCTGGGCTTCTTTTACGCCTGGTATCATCACTTTCATTCAAGTTTTGTCACTCGTGGTTGGGGTTCTGTATTTCATTGCGCTTGGTTCCTTCCCTATCCCACCTTACAGTCACCTGTTAGATGGTGTTTCTTTTATTTAGTCCTTTGTTACTGTTTTCCTTCTGTCACTGATCTAGAATGGCTTTTTAGCTAACACCGTTTTCCTCCAAAACAGAAGCAGCATCAAAACATCCATTTGTACTCTTGAATCTCCATTAACAAAACCTGCTCCTAGTCATCTTCAACCTTGAGGAACCAGCCTCCCCAATAACCAAATCCACCTCTGACCATTTGGGGCCAACCCTCATCCTGAAGCAAATGTCACCTTCCCGGCCAGCATTTTCCACGCCACAGCACCCACCACCAAGCACTAAACAGATCTTTCTTTTTTCTCTTTTGGGAAAATGGTGCCACCTTTCACTGGAGCAAACACTGCAAGGAGGTAACTCTTCAAAACAAGTTCCTCACGAAGATAACACCATGTCACCGCCCCACCTCCAGCAAACAGAAGAGGTATGGGCTTAAAATGCCATTCCTTCTCCTCTCTAGTTCAATGAGGAGGCCTACCACAGGCCGTACCTGCTTGGCATTGATGTGATAGACCGAGAGCTGCTGCAAGGCTGCAGACACAGCATCGCCGTCCCCGGAGAACAGCTCAGCCATCACCTCCCCGATGTTACTGTAGGGGATGGGCACACCGAGCAGCAGGGCCACAGTGGGCACCAGGTTCACCTGGGGAACAGCCTCAGGCTCCTGGAGAGACAGGGGAGGAATCGGAAATTTGAAAGAACACAGCAAAGCAGCTTTTCACTCGGGCTAGAGGATGGTGGGGAAGACATCCCTGTTAGGAGGGGAACCTGGGGAAGCCAGGAGGGGGAAAAACACATGCGAAGGCACAGGCACAGCTCTGCCCTCCCCGAGTGCCCTGTGGAGGGGAGGATGCCTGCTGGGAGCCGCAGGCCCTTGGGTCTCGCCCTGGCTGTCTAACAGCTCACCTGGCCCCACTCAGAAACCCCTCACAGCTGGAAGGGCCCGGATATAGAATCAGAATGCTTGGGGTGGAAGGGACTTTAAAGGTCACCTAGTCCATCCCCCGATGGGACTATGGGTCCCAAACACTTCAGTTACCTGCATCCTGCATCAGCCTTTCCATTCTTCTCTTGGGAAAGGTGACAGACTCCCCACCCCTCTCAATCTCCACAATCCCAATTGAACCGTTACTCTCTGTAACCCCAGGATGCAGTTTTCACCCCGGATGCCACCTCAGGCAGCAGCAGCTAAGGATCAGCTTCTTCTCACCTCTGGAGGGCCAGTGCCAAATAGGGGTGTTTTGCTGTACACAAACAGTGCTGCATTCACTTCCTTCTCGCTGTCGCCGCCATGGTCTCCGGTCTCTGTCATGCCATGGTCCCCAGCCACCAGAAGAAGGGTGTCATTCCCCAGGTGATCCACCAAGGACCTGTCACCAGGATAAGGAAGGTCAACCCCTACCTGGGCAGAGTCCCAGGTAGCCCAGGTGGGAGAGGACATGTCCCCACCAAGCCTGCCAGCATGACAGAGGTGAAGCCCACAAAAGGATCTGAGCAAAACTAAGTGCTGAAGCAGAGCTGTAACAAGTCAGCCAGGGATCCGGACAACAGACGCTTTAAAACCAAACTGAAAATTCAGAGTCCTGAGACAGAGTGGACTGATCTTGCTTAGGTCCCCAGTGAACTGGTTCCTCAGTGCCTTTGGGGATCTTGACAAAATGCAATTCGGAAGAAAAGTTCCCAACAGGAACAAATTTTAGACTGCTTCTATTTGCGTCTTGTATATTGTATCATGTTGTGTGAGCAATCTCCTACTTTTAAGGAAAAAAGAGAGGATTTGTCCCTGAAGGATGCAGTAGGTATGACACGGTATATACTGCACTCTCAGATGCAGCAGGGCAAGTTATCCACTCCTTCCAGCAGCAAAAATTAAAGCAGTCCTAAGAGTCAAAAGCCACAGCATTTTGGCTGAGGCATGGCTGTGTGATCAGGATCTCTGGGTCCCATTCTGCCTTCTGACACAAAGGCACAACTCACAGGCCTGCCGCAGTAAACGCGGCGTTCCCTAGCCAGGGTTCTCCAAGTGCTTCTCAAACATTAGCCAAACCTCAGTGTGACAATCTCCACTTTAAAGACGGGGAGAGTGAAGCTCAGCTGTACTCCAGCTGCATCATCACCTGGTTGAGAACCAAGGCTCCAAGACCTGAAGACAGACCTCCAAGACCTCTGAAACCAAACCTCTCATGAACATTTGTCTACGCAACCAAGACTGCCCCACAGCTGGCGTTTCAGCTGCCGCTGGCCAAAGCCGTTCACCGTGTTAACAGGCACAATAAGCCTTCCCTGTTGCCCCCCTGCATCGGTAAATTCCCTGGGAAGACCCCACCGGCTCAGCTGAAGAAAGAGGCCACCTGGCAACCCCCCACCGCCACACTAATCACCTGAGCATCTCATTCATCTGGGTGAGCTTCTTAGCCATTTCGGGATGGTCAGGTCCATGTTTGTGCCCACAGTGGTCCACGCCGAGGAAGTGAGCAATCAGCAGGTCCCATTCACCACTGTCCACTGCAAAACAAGAGCAGCCTTATCACATACTAGCCTGGGATTCAGGCACAGGCTCTACACCTGGACTCTCCTGCCAGAGCTTTCTGGTTGCCTCTGGAAACTGCTGTTTCTTCCCCTCCTGCCACCATCACTCCCAGCTCTCAAGTAGATCGATGCAGGTTTTAAGAGAAGCACATTCTTGGTCTGCGGGTGCCTGGGTGCAATGCTGCTGGAAGCTCAACGCCCACAAGCGCCCCAGTATCCACGGTTTTCATTCACCACCTCTCAGGAGAGGAAAGGCCCAATGTCACCCAAGTCACCTTGAAATACCCTTAACTCAAATTGCCATAAACGGAGCTAAAGCACAGGGATGATCAGGAAGAGCACCCAGAACTCCAGCCCTCCCCTGGAGATATTTCAGGTCAGACTCATCCGTGTGCCCCTCTGTGTCCCACCCAGCACGTGGGCATGGCACACCAACGCTGTCCCTAGCTAGAAAGTTATCGCGGCCTCTGCCCTCTGCTGCAGGGTCTCAACACATGAAAACCAACATATTTGGGCTTAAATGATGAACTGCGGCTCTCCCACAAGGCACAAGGACTTCCCCGTGAAAGGCCACCGCACCCTTGATTTACTTAGATTCATACACAGATAAAGCAAAGAGCATTCTCCTCGGTCCTAAGACCTAGGGAGGAGTCTGAAATCACCTAAAATTCACAAATTCATCTCACACTTCACCTTCTTCCCAAGACCGGGAGCCACTTGTACTCTGCTGAGAGCAGTGCTGTGCCCCAGCCTACTGGCTGCACTGCTGGGTATTTCCTAGAGCACTGTGTGCCTGCCCGGGCAGCCACGTGTCAAAGTGAAGCTGCTCCTCCTGCTCCATCCTGGCAGCGTATTCCTAGGACAGATGTAGAAGTCTAACCTCCTCCCATAAAGCTACGCTCTTTTTTTTTTATAGAACCAGTTTACGGGCCCCAGAAGCTGGCTTATCTGTGGAAATCCAGCTAGAGCACTGTAATCCCCAGGCAGCAGCGTGTGACTGCCCGGCGCCACTCTGTAACTGAAAAAACTCTTCAGTCCTACCCCAAACTCGCAGCTGGACTCCTGCAGAACATAAAGGGTTGCCCTGGCCCTGGGGGAAAGAGCTGCTTACCAGTTGGATAGAGATGCTGCAGGATCCCATTGTCCACAGTGTGAAGATCCTTCACGTTAAAAGAAGGGAAGAAATACGAGCGGAAAAACTTCTTCGGGAAGAGTCCTTCCCAAGTGTCATCACCCATGAAGACCACTCTCCTTCCTGAGTCAGCAAGAAAGGAATTAATGAGAGTAGGGAGCCCACCCGAGTCGTGCTGTTACCCACACTAGTGTAAAGAGCCTGGGCAGATCCAGGTCAGGGTCTGGAGTGCTGGGCTCCTCTCCAACCAACCTCCAAAAGCGACCTAAAATTAAAATGACCATCTGACTGTAAATGAGTTTGAATACGGGGAGCAACCAGCCCTGTTTCTACGCGTACAAGTGCCCCCCACGCCACATCCACCTGCACAGCCTTATCGTTGACCTCTGACCCATCACCCCAGCAGAAAGACCCCTGGGTTGAACCGGCCAGGAAGCAGGCAGGTACCCACCCGTGCCACCGCAGCACTCAGGAAGGTACAGCATGAAGCAGACAAACCCTCCAGACAAGCTGATAGCCTGTGACCCCACTGTAAAACACAAGGCAGCAGATGGCTGCTGACAGGGGTAGAGTAGAAGCTCTGAATCCTGGGCTCCAGCTTTAAACACAACAGCGGTGGGTTTTCATGCGCAGAAAATAGAAGGCAAAAGCACTGACGCTGCCTGCTGCCCTCGCTCTGCTTGCCCTGCCTGCCACCAGGCAGCCCTCCGTGTTTCTGCAGAGCCTCTCCAGCCTGGAAGCAGGAACCGTTTCCTCCGAAGCTGCTGCTCTGGCGCAGGGTCTGCCAGCTTTTTCCATCTCGGATGATTTACTGTGTTTGCCCACCTTGCTCGCACACAGGGGAGCGGACAACCCAGTCACACTGCCTCATCCCAGGCACTGGTATTTGTGCCACTCTGAGCCCTGGAAGGAAATCTCTCTGGATAACACAGGACTCTGTGCTGTCCCCTTTTCTCTACTCCATCACCCCACCCTAACAAGCCCTTTACAGCTGCACACCCCGGCAGCACCAAACTACACAGAAAACGTGACGAGGTCGCTGCCTAACAGGTGCAGGCAGCCGGCGGGGCAGGCTTGCTGCCCGAGTGACACCCGCGTGGCGCACCTGGCACCAGCTCCTCCCTCGTCACGCCTCTCACAGGAACGCAAACACAACACGACCGACTGCCCTTGCCTTTGTACGGCCGCTCCTGGCGGTGACCTTGTGACAGTCACCATCAGTACAGCCATGAAGATGATGAAGATGAAGCTGCGGTCCCAGTTACTTACTCCCAGTACAAGATAGAGAAACCCTGCCTGCATGACAGCTCTGCCTGGGACAACTGTCACTGAGTAGGGCAAAAGAACGAGCTGACGGGGTGGACGTGTTCTAAGCGGTTCCCTTCCCCAGGAGAGAAGAATAAAGGTCCCGTGTGAGCGTGGACGGGTGGTTTGCACGTGCCCTGTCCCCGCGGGACGCGGCCCCTGCCCACTTACCATTCTGCACCATCTGTGCCAGCAGGTTGTCCTCCTGGATGGCGTAGGTGGCAAAGTTGCTGCCCACGTCGATGAAGGTGGGCAGCGAGCCGGTGGTGAGGCCCTTGATGCGCTGCATGGGGGCAGGGGGGGGGTCGGGTCCGG